AGGCTAAGAGCCTGGACTCTGCTTACTGGATGTCCCCTTCCCATTATTGGGAGAAGTCTTTGAAATGATGCATGTAGAGCTCAAGGTGTGTATATGCCTGGAGCTGGGTAAATTCACCACCATTTTGGCTTAAAGTGTTTTACTCTGTGGAGTCAAGAAATTGAGAGCTGAGAGAAAAATGTGAAGAGCCCAGCCTTACAGAGGCCAGACACAGTTCGGTTCAGTTCATTTCCCCCTCTGTAAGGGAATGCGGGGGTGAGAAAGATTTAGGTCATTCATTCATTCCCCTAATGGAGCACTTATTAGCTGAGTAGTATTTTGTGAGAACAAATAAGCTTCCTTACTTTCCTAACTAGAAAAAAAAGATTAGGCTACTTTGAAAGGAATTTCAACATAGCCAATAGAATTGTTAGTTATTTTCCAGGGAGCTGCTCACATAATCAGTAGATTGGTTCCTTACTTTATATTGTGTGTGTAGCTTTAGAAGCCCCAAAGGGGATTATTTACCAAATAAGCCTTATTTCGAAAATGCATTTGGATTATTGCCAATTAATATGAATAATTGAACCCCAGAATGTGTCACCATTCAGCTTGATGTAATTATACAATCTCTGTAGGAGTGTAGTATGAATTATAACCTCTCTTCATGCTATGTGACTTAAGAAGATACGTGATATGTATTCACTCCCAGATACTAACTGTGGCTCTGAGTCTCATTGTTTACCTGGCTGAATAATCCAAGTTACTTAGTCACAGGGATGAGAGAGGCATCCTGAGGTTCCAAAAGCCATGGTGGCAACTACTTTTCTTGTTTTTCAAGCCAGTATTGTTCTCAGGTTTGCCTTCTCTGTTCATTGGGACAACAGCTTCACAATTCTTCAGACCATGTCAGACTGGCAAGGGGCATGTAATTTTAGAAATGTTATTACATTTTAGATGTTTTTGTATTTAAAAAATTATAATTTGTATCTCACCTTAGAAGAATTTGGGTCCTTATTTAGTTGTTCTTCTCTAAGGGCTAAGAGTGATATATTAAAGTTGGTGACTAAGAGGACAGTAACTTGAAAAGCTGTTTCTTACCATCTCTAAGTATTCTTGCTTTGTATAGTTTAGATCCTTGTCAGTCTCATTGCTGGTTTATTTCACCAAGTATCCCTTTCTGCAGTTAGTAAAAGTTATAAAAATTCAATCCAACAGAACCACAAAATTTTAACTACTACTCAAGTAGCATAGATCCAGTGTATGGGCATAGAAAACATTTTACTCTTTCATCTTAAAGCATTTCTTATCTAAATACTTTTCTTACAGTCTCTCAATGAAATAATACACATAACAATAAGGAGACAATAAAAAAGCTTTTTTCAAGGAAAACTTCTCTTTGTTTCCACAGAACAATACCTTCCCTTGGCTCACAGCTCCTTGCATGTCCTAAAAGTGCACATCACTATTAAAAGTTTGTTGATAAATACTTGAGAGTTAATGCCCTGTTGTTGAGGGTTTGAGTACAAAATATGCCATTTCTCATATTGTTAACTCTAGTTAAAATCTATTGCTATAATGTACTTTGTTAACCTTTACTCATGCACCCTGAAATTGATTTTTGCTAGGTAGATGAAATCAATATAGAACCAGCTATATTCACGTCTAATACTTCTTTGAATTTCTGTTATATGTTTATAGGAAACTTTAGTTCTTTGGTACTTGATGATATGGTTTATTTTATTAAATCACTTTCATATCTGATGTGTATTTATCTTATGTTTAGCTAAATATATTTGAAATATACTTTAACAAAAGAATTGACATACAATTTTTGAGGGTTTACAAGAATGAAGTTTCCCAGTTCCAAATATATAACAACAATTTAGCCATGTTGAAATAAGGTTATTTCTACATCCAAAAGCATGTTTGTGTGGTATGCTAAGTCAATATTAATACTTAACACATTCCAAAGTGAATGACTTTCTCTTCTTTCCCATGAAACGTAAGCCTTAGAATATTTTAACTCATATTATTACCACCCAATTTATATGCAATACTATCCACTGCTTCTGTCCTTTTCCACTATAAAGTAAACATTGTTATTTCATTTTACAACAAATTTTTTTTTATTTTTTTATTTTTTTATTTTTTTTTTTTATAGAGGCATGTTTTCTTTCTTTCTTTCTTTATTTGTTTGTTTATTTTCGTTTATACATGCACTGGGTACAGTCAGAAGCGCGGGAGGGTGAGAGAATTCACCAGAGCCAGAGCAGGGAGCAGAGCAGGCAGAAGGACCGAAGTACACTGCTGAGGGGAGCAGCGGGCGGCAGGAGAGGTCTGCGCGCCATGTGGGACCCTCCTCCGGTGGCCGGGGAGCAGCCGGGGAACGAACCGGCGCCACAGAGGCTGCGGGCAGCTTCGCAAGCCAGCGCTCAACCGCTGCGCCACCGGGGAGGCCCTACAACAAATACTTTTTTATATATACTGGATATTTGCTAATAATATCTTTATTTACCATTCTTTCCTGCATCCCAGATCATCTCCTTGGGATCATATAATTTCTGGATGGATGCATGGATGGAGGGAGGGAGGGAGGGAGGAGAGAGAGAGAGAGAGATCAGACTTCATGGAAGGAAATACATATATTTGAAGTCTGGTAACGGTAAATTGGTAAATTTGAGTTTTGGTAATCTGAAAATGTGTATGATTTGCTCATTTTTGTAAATAGAGAATTCTAGACTGAGAGATTATTTCTCTTGGCACATTGAAGATGCTGGCTTCTTGCATCTATTTTTATGTTAAAGAATCAGTCCTAGGTCAAGCTTGTCTCTTGTAGGTAACTTTGCTCCTAGCTGCTTTAGCAAGCTTTCCCCCTCCCTTTGGTGTTGTCTGTGATATGTCTGTAAATCGGATTTCTTTTTATTCAGCTTGTTTGGGATTTATTGATTTTCCAGAATCTGAGAATGACTAACTTTGAACAACTCTACGAAATTCCAAGCAATATGTCTTCAGTATTGTCTTTTTCTCTTATCTCTTTTTATTTCTATCTAGATTTCTGATATTTCCTCATGTCCTTATTTTTTTTTTTTTATGTTCTCAGTTCCTTTGTGTTTCTAAGCTGCATTTCACTGATTTCTTTGGATCTATCGCTAACATGTCTGATCTATAACTTTAATTTATCCATTGTATTCTTTCATTCAAATTATTCCATTTTATTTTCTAGTTCTGGTTTTCCTTTCAGATTTATGTGGTCATTTCTTAGTCTTTTTCCTTACTCACATTTTCAAACTTCTCATTTATGTTGTTATATTAGGTTCAAGGAAAGCTATTTTCTATTCTCTGATTATTTTAGTATCTTCAGGGGTCTTTGCTATCTATCTGTGGTTCTCCTTCATGCTGCTTTGTTTCCTTGTCTCCTTCATGGTTTTATTGTCTCCTATGAAATGCTTATTTTCTCCTGGTAGTTGAGACCTGGATTGACACAATTCTTCACAAAGAATTTGCATCTGCTTCCACCATTACTTACTAGTATCATTTCCCATTAAACTCTCTGTTTGATGTTTCTCGAACATGTTAATAGTGTATGTGGACCAGAACCTGGGTGAGGGCCCACTGCTACTTATAACACTCAGAAGGGGATTGTTTTCCCCTTCTGCTCAGAACCACAGCAGACTCAGGCATGTTTCCTCGCTCTCCTCTGTACATCAGACTTGCTTTTTCTTCCTTACACTTGAGAGTGGATCCCTTTGAAGTATCCCAACTTTATGTGGGAACCTCCAATAGACTCCCTCATACTGCATAAAACCATAAAAGCAGATGATAAAAGTCTTCCAGGTTTAAGACAGCCCTCAGGGCCAAAGCCTGCTTTGCTATTTCCTTCACTAATGGGGTTCCAGCTTCCACTCTTTAGAAACCTGAACACCTCCTCTTTTCATGCCTGCTCTGCAAATGCATTTCAAAAGGTTTCCTGTATATTTGCTCAATATTTCTTTGCTACTAATTGGAGATGGGAATCTTCATGTAATGAAACTGGGTATCTATGTTATGACTATACAGACATTTATCATTATATGTATTTGTGGCTCTTCATTTATATGTACTTACAATAAATTTATTTCAGCACATCTGGTAACAACAAATAACTATTACACACTTAAATTATTGCATCTGTTCAACAAGACTAACGGACATGCCTTTTGTTACTTTTCAAACATAAAACATTTGTATGCAGTATTATGGAATTAAAGAAATATAGCCAGAGGCTACCTTATTTTATTTTATTTTTTTAAAGATTTATTTATACAAGCACTGAGTACAGTCAGAAGCGTGGGAGGGTGAGAGAATTCACCAGAGCCAGAGCAGGGAGCAGAACAGGCAGACTGACAAAGTACACTGCTGAGGGGACCAGCGGGCGGCAGGAGAGGTCTGCGCGCCATGTGGGACCCTCACTGGTGGCCACAGATGGAACCGGTGCTGCAGAGGCTGCGGGCAGCTTTGCAACCCAGTGCTCAATTGCCGCGCCACTGGGGAGGCCCCGCTACCTTATTTTAAATCCTCTTTAGATTATGTAGAACTGTTGTTTTTTTTAATAACTTCTCAAAATAATAGCATTACAAAACCATTTCTATCTAGGTCCAGTTCATATGAAATGATTACTTACATTGAAATATTTTGGGAACATTTGGACTGTTGCACAGTTTTGTGGGTAAAATATAAACATGATTTCCTTTGAGTTAATGTCTTCTGGGAAACCGTGTGATAACTATGCTGCATTTTATAGTCAGATGATTGTAAAGTGTGTAGTAATTCACAATTTCTAGCAAACCTTTGAAGATGGTGTGTCCTTTTGTCTAGTGAAGTTTCTCTTGGTAAAGCAAATGATTTGTCCTTCTTTAAAAAAAATCTGATTTCACATGAGATGCTTTCTCAAGCAACTACACATATCATTGCAGCCAGTAAAGAGAAGTAGTCATATGCCACCCTGCCCATCTCCCTAATGGATGGTCCTTCTTTTCTAGTACGTGCGAGTGTCTTTTGATACAAAACCCGATCTCCTCTTACATCTGATGACCAAGGAGTGGCAGTTGGAGCTTCCCAAACTTCTCATCTCTGTCCATGGGGGTCTGCAGAACTTTGAGCTCCAGCCAAAGCTCAAGCAAGTCTTTGGAAAAGGTCTCATCAAGGCAGCCATGACCACAGGAGCATGGATATTCACTGGAGGTGTGAACACAGGTAACTCAAGTGGGACACATGTGGCCCCGAGGATGTTGTGACCATCATTTTCCCCTAGGTTAGATGTACTTACAGTCCCCCACCTCACCTCCTGCCATGTGTCCAACTCGCTGGCTATGTCTTCTCTCCGATTCTCTCTTCCTCCCTTATCTAAATGATAACTCTAGTCCCTTCAACAGCTCAGCTGACAGCAGAGGACTGTAGTTATTTCCATAATGCTAAATAACTACACTGTTATTTATTGACCAAAAATTACTTACACATAAGAAACAAGGTAGGATATTTAATACTTAGCCATTCAGAATTTTTTTAAGCTTATTAGACTAAGGGAAACCACTGAATATTTTCAATACCTCAAATTGCTTGCCAAATTAGTGTCTAGTAATTCTTTAAGGAATGACTTTTGCTCTGAATTGGAAGCTCTGCCTCTGATGCAAATAGCTTTAATTTTGCTAAACGCGCTTTCCATCTGGGATATAAATTGTGACAGTAAAATCTAGACTACTATTGTTTATTAGAGGAAAATATTTCATTAAGTCACCTCTGTGCCAATAGAAGACACACTCCATGTTGAATTCCAAACAGTTTTTTCTACCTGCCAAATGAGTTTCTACACTATGATACAGGCAGGCTGTCAAATCAATTCTTACAATCCCACTTACAGTTAAGTGCTTATCTGCAGAACATTATTAATGGGCAACAGATAATGGAATGGATGCCTATAAATTGCTTTGACATATTTTCCCAGCCTGAGTCTGAAGTGCCAGTTGCAGGAACACAAGTCACACTGCAGTGAGCTCATTCAAACTTGATACAAGACTCAGAGTCTGTACCGATGAACACATTGTAATTAGTGCTGCAGGGCCTGGGGCCAACTAGTTGTTTTTTGTTTTGTTTTGTTTTGTTTTGTTTAATGTTATTGAATGTTTGTGGTTTGGATGATGATTGAGCTAGACCAGTTCTCAGAATTCTCAGCACCTAGAATTTGTGAACATTCAGCATCTAACTCCACAGATACATGGAGATGCTGACCCATGTTCACAGTTTTATGTGAAATCCTGACTCAGTCTGTAAACCAACACGAGTTTAGACTGACCTGCTTGTTCAGCTTGTTATTGTTTATTCTGTAGTAATCAAATATCCACAGAGCCATTTTCTTTCAATGACTGTTCAGGCATTAGGCACCAACCTTCTCTCATAGCTCAGCCAGCATCATTTGCCTGAGTTTTTAGTCTTTGGCTATCCAAGCATAACCTTCACTTCATGTACAAATCCAACTCATTTTCCAAAGGTTCAAGAGAAATTCTCTCCAACCTTCTGTTCCTGGGAACTTGGAACAGTATTGTTTTTCTTCTTTTATGAAATACATACAATGTCAAAGAAATATTTACAACACAAATACTGTAAAAAAGTATCATCTCTAACTCACTCTAGCTTGATGTTGATTGCCATTCAAAAATGAGGTTGTGCAGGCAGCACACTCAAGTTAGGTTGGAGGTGATGGGAGAACTGGTGGGGGGGGAGGGACAGGGGGAGCATACCACAAAGTTAAACTGCCCAGGACTAGCCCCAAAAGGAGTTTTGCACTCAACAGATAAATATCAATAGTGTTATTCACTGCTTTACTCTTATATTTGCATTTGTTTACTAGTACTCTCAGGTAAAAAAAAATCCACAGATGAGCTAGTAAATGAAATTGATATTCTTCTCACTACATCCAGCAGAGTTCAACATAGATTTGTGGCTATTTACACTCTTGTTGATTTTTCTTAAAGGAGGCTCTTTCTGTTTGATCTTATTAGTATTTCAGAATTGAGTTTACACATGTGCATCCTCTCCATGATTAAATTGTTTGTGTTTTGTGTCACACATCAGAACATGCTGAAATTAGTGTTGCATCACCCCGGATGAGCCAGTTTTCTTTAACATAATGTTATCTGAATGTCTGTGGTTTGGATAATGCTTGGATCAGTGCTCCATCCCTGAGCCTTCCCCTGTGCTAGCCCTCAAGACATGAGAGTAAGACCCCAACCCTCCTACCCGCCCATCGGGGAGTTTTATGATGAGGGAAACACCCTCCTCGTGTGTGATTGATTCATGGCAAAATATATTAGGTGACATCTGAGCTATTCAAGATATGCAAACCAAAATATTGAAATGAAGAAATCAAATCTAGTCACTTTCACATAGATGATATCGTTGCCTTTTCTGTAGGGGAATGGGTAGAGCTTTCTAAGTGGAATGTATTTTCTATCTTCTATGAAAATGATTATTGAGAGGTGGGTTTCCAATAATTTATAAACTGAATTTTCTCATTTTTAACTATGGTGAGAAAGACTGAGTGATTGGGGAAGGACATTATGACAGAAGAGGCAAACAACTAAAATGGTGATTAAAAAAAAGATTTATATATCAAAAAAAGGTTTCTATATCTTTGACAGACATTTTCAGCAGAATATGCCAGCATTTTCTTTACAAGGGGTCTTTCCATATTGAAATCAATTAACAAAATCTGAGTCATGTAAGTACACTGAGTGATCCTAACTCACCACTCACAGAGTGCTATAGGTTGACTATAATATTACACATGCTGCTTACAGGATGAAGTTTTGGTGTTGGTTCTTAGTCATACTAACACATTATGCTTCTAAAACAAGAAAAAGATTGTCTAAATTTAAAGATGTGTATTCTTTTTATAGGCATTGGATACTTTTCCTTTTTTCATTAAAGTAGAATTTAAAAAAAAGCATTGCTAGAGTTCATGTCCACATTCAGCCAGTGTAGCTGGCATTAGAGATACAAGTTTACATTCTCTCCTGAGTCATGTAGTTTATTTAGAAATATCTTAGAACTTTACATCCAGCACATTTCAAAGAAATTATGCTGTTTGTCCCAAGTTTAGAGCGATGGAAAGTATTGCTTTCAAAGACACATCTTTTTCTTCTTAGGTGTTATTCGTCACGTTGGAGATGCCTTGAAGGACCACGCGTCCAAGTCTCGGGGGAAGATGTGCACCATCGGTATCGCGCCCTGGGGCGTCGTGGAAAACCAAGAGGACCTCATTGGAAGAGATGTAAGTCCTGGGCGTTGCTGCGCCTATGATTCTCAAAGAGGAAAATGGGTTAGAATTCAACATGTACATATTTTAGTACCCTAGCTACCGCCGCCCAGAAGGAAACTCACATAGAAAAAAATTATGGCAACTCCCATCTCAATTCTTATCAGCAAGAAAGGTCCATAGCTCATCAGCTGCACTTGGGTTGACGAGAACAGTGGTCTGTCTTCACCCATCAAATCTGGCACATTTATTAAGGATTATGAAGAACATAAACTCAGTGGCTGATGCATACATAATATGGGGACTCTCTTATCCCCCGGGTTCTCCCCTTCTTGATTATTTGAGGACCCTCAGGAAAGCTGCAGAGAGACATTCTTTCCATTCCTGTGGCTTCCCTGCTCAGGTTTTGCTCAATGCAAGCAGGGGAGGAGCGGGCACACGGGAGGCAGTTGCTACTCTTTCCTGCACTGACATGCCCAGAAGCCCCTAACCAAACTGCAGGGTAATAGCCTCTTTCTATCCTAACCACAGTCCTGTGCTGAACAATCAAACAATTTTCTCAGCAGCTTCCTCTTATTTTGGATGAGTCATCAATGTCATCCTGTTCCTTCCAGGTAACTCAGGCCTCTCTCTCCACTTCACTAGCTCCCATGTCTGTCTTCTCTCCCTGGCCTGTCTCCACTCGCTGCCGCCGCTGTCCCCTCCCATCATCTGGTCTCAGCTCCATCTGCTCCCCGCTTTCTCCTCTGGGTCTCCCTCCCTTCCATCTCTCCTTTTCCTCCGATATCCACTTCTCTCCACTCCCCTCCTGTGTGTGTCCACTCTACCTCCTTTTTCTCTCAGCTCCTCGCCTTTCTTTACTTTCTTTCCACTATGCCTTTTCCCATGGTCCGCCTCTCCCGTGTCCCACTTCTCACCTTGGTCTCTTTTCCTGTATTCTGTCTTCTGTCTCTTGACACTGTCTCCTCCCGTTTCTCTGCTCACATCACTCTCCTCTCACTTTGCTTCCTCTACACTCTCCCCATCTCTTCCCTATTCCACTTCCTCCGTCCATGCTCCTCCTGCTCTGTCCTCCCACTCTTTTCCATCTCTCTGCCCCTCACTCCCTCTCTTCTCCTGCTGGCTCCCTTTTTCCCTATTCCCTCTTTTTGTTTTTTTAAATGGGACCCTTGCTGGCGGCCAGGAATCAAACCAGCGAGGCAGCCTCGCAACCCAGCACTCAACCGCTGCGCCACCAGGGGAGGCCCTATTCTGTCTCCTCTCTTCTCTCAACTTCTCCCCTCTCTTTCCCTTCTCTGTCCTCTCTGCGCTTCCCTTTCCCAGCTCCTCTGTTCTCCATTTTCTCTTTTTCTAATTCTGTCTCCTCTTTCCCCACTTCTACCTCTTTGTTCTTGCCCTCCCTTCTCTTTCCTCTCAACTCTCTCTCCCTGCTTCTCTCTCTCCCCATCTCTTCTCCCTGCCCTATCTTCTTCCTCTCCATTGCACCCTCCACCTCTAGAGCCTCTTTTCTCTCCCCTTTCTCTCTTTCTCCACATCAGCCTCTCCTTCCCCTTTCTCTCCTCATTTCCTGTCTCTCTCTCACCTCTGCCCTCTGTCTCTAGCTCTCCACCTTCTCTCTCCTCTTCCCTGTCCTCACTACTCTCTTCTCTCACAAGTTGTCTCCTCTGGTCACTTTCTCCTGCCTCTCCTCTCCCCTGTCACTTTCCTCCACACCCCCCAGGCCACTTTCTCTCCACTTCACTTTCTTCTCCCTCTTTCCTCCTCCCCTTTTACTCTCTCAGCATTTCTCTTGCCCTAGTCTATTTGCTCTCTCTCCCCACTCGTGTGGCTCTCCCATCTTCTCCTACCCCTTTCCTTCTCTCTCCCTCCCTCTCCTGTTTCCTCCCTCCCCCCTGGGTCCTCCCTCTCTCTCCACTTCAGTGTCTTCTCCGTGTTCTCTCTCCTCTCCCTTTTCTTTCACCTTCTCTCCTGTCTCTCTTTGCACTTCTATCTCCACTTTCTTTCCCTCCTCTTCCCCCCTGAGCCACAGCTCTCCTTCTCTCTCCACTCCAGCCCCTCCCTGTCCCTCCCCCTGCACTCACCTCTCTCTCTCAACTTCTCCCCATCCTTTTCCTATTTCCCCTGATTTTCTTTCTCTTCCCTCTCTCACCTCTTTTCTCTCCTTTTCTATTTTTCCCTATTCTTTCTCCACACCCTGTCTTCCTCCTCTCAGAGGGGACACAATGGCCACTTGTGTCCTCTCTATCTTCTCTCCCTTGTGCCTCTTCCCACCTCACTTTCCTCTTTCCTGTCTCTCTCTCCCCGGCTAGCTCATTTCTTCTATTTTGTCTCATTCTTCTCCTCCACCCCCTCAGTCCTCTCATCCTTCTCCCCCCGCCCCTTTCCTCGGTCTCTTCCTTGTCTCCCCCACTCTTTTCTCTCACAAGTTGTCTCCTCTGTCCACTTTCTCCCCCCCTACTACCCCCCACCCTCTATCTCCTGCTTTTCCCTATTCTCTCTCTCTTCCCTCCCTTGCTGCCACTGTCTCAGCTCCTCTCTCTCTACTTCTCTCCCCGCTTGCCTGTTTCTTCTAGTTCCACACTCTCCACTTGTTTCTCCCTCTTTCCTCCTCCCCTTTTATTGTCTATCTGAACTTCTCTCTCGCCCTTTTCAGTCTCCTGTCCCCTGCCTCTTTCTTTTCCCTGCTCACTTTACTCTTTTTTCTGCCTGGCCCTAGTCTAGCTCATTTCTATTTTGCTCACCTCTCCTTTTTTCCTCTCCCCACTTCATGCTCTATTTCTTCCCTCTGTCATCTAGGTCTCCCCCCCCCTTTCCCTGCTCCTAGCTCTCACCCCCTCACCCCGCTTTCCTTTGTCTCCCTCCATCTCCCCTCCTTTCTCCACCGCGGTCTGTGGTCTGTCTCCCATGCCTGCTCTGCCTCTGCATCTCCTTCCTCGCTGCTCCCCTTCCCCTCAGTGCATCCGCTCTCTCCCCCCGCTGGCTCCCTGGTATCTCCCCCCCTTTCCTCTGTCTCTTCTCTTTCCACGTCATGCCCCTCTCTCCCTCGTGTCCACTCCATTTTCTACCCCTGCCTTTTGTCTCTCATCTTTTCCCTCTCCCATCTCTGCCCACTTCCTCTGTCTTTTCCCTCTTCTCTCTCCCCCCTCTGCCCCTCTTTCTCCTCCGCTTGCTTTCTCTTTTTCTCACCTTCCATCTTCCCCCACCCCGCTTTCTCCTCTGGGTCTCCCTTTCCTTCTGCCCCCCCCCTCACTTCCTCTCCTTTGTCTGTCTTCCCCTAGTCTGCTTCCTCTCTGTTCCTTGCTCCTCTCCTTTCCTCTTGGCTCTTTCCCCGCCCCGCTTATGTTTCCTGTCTCTCGCTCATTGTCCCCCTTCTGTCCACACTCTCCCTCTTTTCTGGGTCCACTTCTGTCCTCTCTGCTTCTCTCTCCCCGCTCTGTGTGTCCACTCCACCCCCTTCACTCGCTCCCCCACATCTCTCCCCGCTCCCCCAGCCCTTGCCTCTCACTCCTCTTCTCTTTCAACTGCTCTCTCCTCCCCCTCTCTTCCCAGTCTTTAGTCCTTTTGGCCACCTCTCTCTCTCTCCCCATGGCCTCCTGTCCCCTCTAGCTCCCTGCTCCCTCTCTGTCCACTTCTGTCCCCCCAACGTCTCTAATCCCAGCTCCTCGCTTTCCCACTTCTCTCTCCACTTTCTCCTCTTTCCCTACTCTAGCGCTCTCTTCCGCTTCATTGCTTCTCTCCTGTCTCCCTCTCATCCCTTTCTCTTCCCGCCTTCCTCTAGGCTCTTCTCCCTGCCCCTCCCTCTCCCGTCTCCCCCTCTGTTCTGTTTCTCTTTCCTGTGCCTCTTCCTTGTCTCTGACTTCTCTCTCACCTCTCACAAATGAGCTCCTCTTCCCACTTCACTCTTATTTCTCCACTTCTCCCTCTTTCTTTTCACTATCAAGTTTTCTCTTTCCCTATTTTTTCTCCCATCTCCTTCCTCTCTCCACTGTCTCTCTTCATCACTCCCCTCTTCCCCTTCTCAATGTCTCTCTCCCCTCTCTGTCCACTTCTGCTGCTGTCCCATCTCGGGCCACTCTCTCCCTTGCACGCCCTTCTAGCTTCTCCTCTTCCCCTCCCCCTCCTTCCCTCACCAGCCACTTCTCTCCAAGCCCTTTTTTCTCTGAGGCTCCCTCTCTTTCCATCACCTCTCTCCTCACTCCCGCCTTTCCTGTGTCCACCCCACCTCCTTTTCTTTCTCTCAACTCCTCCCCCCGCGGCTATTCCCAGTGGCCATGTCTCTCCCTCCTCCCACTTCTCTCTTTGCACCATCATCTTCTCTCCTCTCTCTCTCCTCCCATGTCTCTTATTCTACACGTCTCTGTTCACACTCTCCTCTTCACTGTCTCTCCCTTTTCTCTCCCCCTCTTTTCCCTCATGCTCCATCTCTTCTCCCTGCCTTATTTCTTTCCCTAGTCTCTCTCCCCTCTCAGGTGACACAATGTCCACTGCCATCCTCTCTCCCGCCCCTCTGCTTCTCTTCCCAGTTCACTCCTCTCAGGTTTCCCCCACCTCCTCCTCTCCATTGTCCCTCTGTCTCCTCTCTCCTGTTTCTCCCGTCTCTCTTTCCCTAGTCTATCTTCTCTTCCTTGTCTCTAACTTCTCTCAGCTTATCCCCTATTCCTCCATATTTTCCTCTCTTCTAGTTCCACATGCTCCACTTTCTCCCCCTCCCTCCACCAGCACCCTCCTCCCCCTCCCCCCACGTCTCTGATTCTCCACTTCCGGCTCTTTGTTCAGACTCTTCCCTCCTTTCCACAGTCCATTGCCTCGCGCTCGCCCATCTCTTCACGCCCATCTCAGCCCGCGCTGCTTTTCCTCTCTCCACTGTCTCCTCCTCTCCCCCACCCCTTGCCTCAATCTCCCCTTTTCTCACAACTTGCTCTCCTCTCTCCACCTCTCTGTCCCTTCCCACTTCACTCCCAACCTCCTGCTTGCCTTGTCTCCTTTCCCTAGTCTGTCTCCTCTGCCACTCTCCCATCTTTTCCACTGTCTCCATCTCGCCACCGTCACCACCCGTCTCCCCTGTCAGCATCCACTTCTGTCCTCTCTAGTTCCCTAGTCCACCTCACTCTCCTTGCCTCTACCTGCTCTCTCTCCCCACCGCTCCTTTCCCTTTTATCTTTCCCCACTTCACTTTCGTCTGCCTCGCCTTCCCTTGTCTCTCATTTCTATTTTTCTCACTCTTCTCTGCATATTCCATCTCCTCTTCCTAGTCTCTAACTCGTCTCACAAGGTGTCTCCTCTGTCCACCATCTTCTCCCCTGTCTCTTTCTACTACACTCCTGCCTCAACTTCTCTCTCCCCACTTCTCTCCATATTCCTCTCTCTTCCCTAGTCTAGTTCCACACACTCCACTTTTCACCCCTATCACTCTCTCTCTCATTCTGCACTCCTCTGTGTCCACCTCTGTCTCTCTGTTCACACTCTCCCTCCTTCCCATGGTCTCTCCACTCCGCTCTCCCTCTGTTCACTTTCTCCCATCTTGCTCTCCTTTGTCTTCTCTCCATATTCTCCTGTCTCTTCACTCTTTCCCTATCTCACCTCTCTCTGTCCACTTCTCCCCCCTCAAATCTATCTCCTTTCCCATCTCTTCCACTGTCTTTCTCCAATTTTTCCTTTTCATTCTCTCACCCCTTTTCTATTTTTCCCTGTTCTCTCTCCACTTTCGCCACCCTGTCTCCCCTCTCAATGTCTACTTCTGTCCTATTTCCCTCGTCTACTCTTTCCACTTTCTCAAAGTCTCTCCACAGTCTCCTGTCTCTCTCTTCCCCCTGCCCTCTCTCACCTCTCCCTGCTCATCTTTCTCCACGTCAGACTCTCCTTCCCAGTTGCCTTCCCTGTCCTCTCTCCTGTTATTCCCTCTCATCTTCTCCCTGCCTCTTTCCACCACACTCCCCGCCTCTATCCCCTGTTGTCCCTATTCTCTCTCCACTGTCCTCCATAGTTTCCTATTCCCTCTGTATTTCTCTTTTCTAGTTCCCCTCTCTCCTTCTCCCCTTTTATTCTGTCTCAACTTCTCACCTCTCTCTCCTCTCCCATCTCTTCCCACTGTCTCCACGTTCTCCTCTCTTCCCTTCACTTTCCCTCCTGTCTCTCCAATCTCCCTATTTGATCTCCTTTCCCTCTGTGTGTCTGGCTGCTTCTCTCCTGTCTCTCCACTTTCTCTTCCCCTGTTCCCTAACCTCTTCTTTCCACTTACCTGTCTTCCCTCTTCTCTCCACACTCTCGTCTCCAAGTGCATTCAGTCTCTGAGGAAAAAAATAAAATCAAAGAGGTTGAGTATTAACAGCTCTTCAGCTGCTTCTACTGTGTTGCAGTGTAGGGAAACCTTTTTATTTTTATTAGTGAGGTAAATGTATGGAAAATACTGTATGAGTTAGAGGAATACTCACATGCTTAGATGTGTATTGCCCACCTCCACCCTACTTTTTCCCCATCCCATGTCTCCCCTCTAAGAGCCTGGATTTGGTAGTCATATTTCTAGGGTTTGGTTTTGTTTCTCTAGTCTGCATATGAGTGAAATCATGCAGTATTTGTTTTTCTCCTTCTTACTGATTCTACTAAGCATAATTCCCTCCATCTTCATCTATGTTGTGAATTTTTATTAATAGCTGAATAGTATTCCAGCGTTCTAGCGCCTGTTTCTTTCCTCTGTCTCTCTGCTTAGAAGACACCACATAGCTCCTCAATCCACTTACCAGTCCTTTGACACTTGGGTTGCTTCCATAACTCAGCTTTTGTAAATACTGCTGCAATGGAGAAAAAGGATCTCTCATCCACTGTTGGTGCAGCGTGGACAGGTCCAACCCCTCAGAAAACAATGTGGACGTTCCTGAAAATATTGAAAATAAACCATCTTATTTCAATGAAACAAAGGATTGGCTTTTTTTAAAAAAAGTAATGCAAAAACTGAGTTTAAAAAGTCAAATATCATGAAACACAAGCAGTAGAATACTCTTCAAATCCCTCAGAATCTTAGTGGTTAAAAAAAAGTCCATATTGGTAACAATATACATGGCAGAACATTAATTTATCCTGAATAGGTCAAGAATGAGATACTAGTTTTACTGGTATCTCAATTATAATTTATTTGCTATTTATATAACATACAGACTGAATAACTAAAGTAGCAATTTCTAAAATATTATGTTGACAGAATTGTCAGTACCAATTTTTTTTCATAGTATCTTGTATTATTCTGTGATGAAAATACTTGGATTAATACTTCCCTTAGATTACAAATTGGCTTTTAAGTGTATTGGCTGTGAACTAGAATATATTTCTTAAAGGATTAAGAGATGCCAAAATCCTCCCAATACAAAAAAATATTCAATAGTATACTTTATTAAATGATTCATTTAAAATGTTATGATTATTCAGAAGTCAATTTTAAAAGTTCAAAATCATGTAAACCACAGTTCATATAAACCTGACATTATAATTTAATGGGTGGACATTATGTAACTTTCTTATCACACCAACTAATGAAAATGAAGTTGATTATTTCTTTGTTCAAAATAGAGTAATAAAACTACCTCCGTTGTCTATGCATTTCATTTTGTTCGTTCATCTTGTAAATGCTATAGGACTGCAGAAAGACAGTGCTTCCATCACATCTACCTGCCTTGCTCAGTTGCTAGAATCACCTGATTTATTTTCCTTCAATTCCGACTTTGTTCTTTGATTCCCCTCCTCTCAATTGTATGCTGATAAGAACCTAATGTGCTTATGCAAATGGGACTTCTCAGTGAAACGTGGTCCCAGCACAGAAGGCAGGAAAGCCCCTCATATCTTCAGTAAGATGAGCACATTCATTCGCTGTGCCTGCTTATGGGCGTCTCATACAGCTTTCCCCCACTACCTGAAAGTAGAACATTCCTATTTGGTGAGTTCGAGTAGGTTACTTTTGGGGTCTGGGAACACTCAAAAGCTTTCCATATTAATTCATGGTAACAGTGTCTCTAGACCCTTCCAAATAAGTTACCAACATATACCAAGTAGGAATGTTCTTTCAGATAGTGGCAAAAAAACACAGCTCGCAAAGGTCTACATGAACCTATAGAGAGGCCACTGAGAAAAGGAAATCAAATTGACAGGTTATAAAGAGCACAGGGGAATAAAAGAAAACTTGTATTTGAGTGTTTCATTAATCTTCAACCAAGATCAATTGAGTCTTGACCACTCTAATACATTTCCCCTCCACCACCACCACCAAATTGGAGAACTGCATTCGGCATAGAATTTGCCAGGTTCTGTGTAATAATTGCTTTTCAAGTTAAAATAACACTTGTGCTCCAAATAATAAGTCTACAGGATTTATGACAATTGGAGGGAAATTGTTGATATGCTTGCTATTCTAGTGTGATCATTAAAGATGAACATGATGCTAGGTGTTCATTAAAAGTATAAGCAACAAAATTGGTGGGCACTGGCGAAATGCCCTAGAAACCACCAAAGTACAAGTGTACCTGGTAAGCTGCTTAAGTGGTTACAATAGTTTTCCTAGCACGCTTAGCTTAGTGCCTTCTATGCTTTCTTCCATTTTATATCATCAAACTCACATCTGATATAACATGAAAAATAAACATTTTTAGAATCAAACATCATGTAGCAGAAGAAAAAAGCTGATATATTTAAAATCTTTAACATTGCAGAATTCTATCAAAATGCAATTATCTGAAAAATAATTTTTCATTCACTGCAGTTTTGGTCAAGTCTATTGTATGTATTCCAGGATAATATTGAAGTGGCAGCAAGTAAACATGAAATCTAGGAGATTTACTTGACATAAATATTAAGGATTTTAAAAAGCCTCCATTTATTATGCCAGATATTTTATTAGATTTCCGAACTGGTTAAAAACATAGAAATTTTTATCTCCATGAGGCAGACATTAGAGTGAGCACTTTTATAAGCTGAACATTCAACTACTACTGGAGTTATTTTATCACTGGACGTAGTGGTAGTCAACCTAGCAGTTGCTATCCACCTTAGGGTTTGAATATCCTTTTTGAATGGCACTATAAGTGCAAATACTTTTCCTGAATGTAGAGAGATTAACTTGCCCTTCTATTTACTTCTAGATATTCTAAAGTATTTTTGTGCCTTCAATTTTGATTTCTTAGCTAGGCTTTAAGTTAGTCTTTAAAGGTACAGGACATGTATTTTTAGATTCTCAGAGTTCAGCTTAGAACCTCACACACAGTAGTTACTCAATAAACATTGATGATGATGGATTGGTCAGGAGGAAATTCAGGCTACAGAGAAAATAAATGTTATGAGAAAAATATAATGATAAATCTCAGTCTAGTTCACCACTTATCAAGAGTCATATTTCTGAGCTTGATCATACCACTGTGACTAGGGGAGGGGTGTTTTTTAACTAAGCTTCTAAATGTAAAACTGTTTTCTTATGTAGCAACCTAAGGGGATGAGAATTCTGCCTGTTGGCTATGAGGGCAAAGAAATGTAGAGTAATAACAGTATTGTCTCTAAACACTTTGAAAGAAGCAAGATACACCAACAATCTGATATAGGATTAGCCTTACTTTTTGAAATACAAATACCTTCCACTCTGTTAAACCAAACCTTTTCTCAATAAATAGTTCAAAACAATGAGAATGTTTACTCCTCTCATGACGAGTAATACTATGAATTCTGACATGGTAATAATGTTTTTGTCCTCCCATTAGACACGAAAACAAATATTGTTCTGTTTAAGTTAACTGTTTAACTTAACACCACCTCTTTCACTTTAAGTTAACACCACCTCTTTCACTTCATGTTATTCCCACTGCTTCACCTTCCACTACAAATCATACTAGCCTTCATTTGAACACAAGGCTCACTTCCACCAAGATGTCTTCTCTAACTTTACCTATAGTGTCATCTTCATGATTGCAACTCTCCCACAACTGTCTTCTTCCCCAACTTAATTTTAAAATGCCTTAGAAGTGGAGATGAACTGCTTGTTTCATTTCTTAACCGCTAACATAATAGTTTGCATGAACATGAGGCACTGACATGTTACTTAAAGTCTGTGAAATTTGATTTCTTCAACTCTAAATGGACTATAAAATCACTTGCTATATCTTCACATGAATTTTATGAACATGAGAGTAATTATAATTTATTAAGTTATTATTTGAGGCTATGTTCTATGATTGCATATATCAGCCCTATGATGCATATATTTTCCCTTTCTGTAGTAAAGAAACTAAGGGTTAGAACCAATATCCACGATCTCCAAAACCCAAGTAATATGATTAGTAAACCAAGTAAGATATAAGAAAATGATAGTATGTTTTTGTTTGCCAACATTGCGACTAACAATATCTCATGCCTATAGATTGAATTCAAAAACAGACTCAGTGAGAATAAAGAGAAAGCTCTTTTCTGTGTCCCTAGAGAATCTCAACTTGGATAGACTATGAAAGTAAATTCAAGAAAGAACTTGCAATGAAGAATAACTTGCACATGATTCATTTTATATTTAGATTTCTCTAAATAATTTCACCAGAATTATTTCAAATAGTTGGAAAGTTTTAGATGGGCTCATTATTTGTCTTTTCCCATATCTAGATTAACAAAATACATGCCAAATGAAAAATCTAGACAGGATCACAAGAAAGCACTTTTCATTCTATCTTGAGGACGGAAATTGTATTTGGGTAGATTTCCAACACATTAACTTATATGGTTATTAAATTTTGACATTCAATGATATCTTCAACTTTCCTTAAACTATAGATTTTCAGAATTTCATAACCTTTAAGTTCTTATATTTAATTAGAAAGTGTTCTTTTCATGTCATCTTTATATTTCAAGCCAAGCAAGTTTAATTCATTGTTCTGGTATACTTACCAACTCAGGACATTTGTTACTTATTTCTAAGGCAAGCCAAATATGACTTCATATTGTAAGCTTAAAAGCTTCCCAGGAGTGGTTCTTCCATGGAATTTATTGAACTTCTATGACTATGTTATTAGATAAGATGTATGCACAGGATGTGAGAGGAAAAGTCCAGCGACAAGAAGCCCCAATGAATCTTTTAAGAATAATACAGGAACTAGTGCTCACTGACCCTTACCACACTAGGTCGGGCTACATTCAGGCTACACTGGGGATGCAATTTCAGTAAGACAGTGTCAGGCTTGGATTTGGACATGTTGACTTCAAATTTCCTTTTGCATATTTATGTGGAAATGTCAAGCAGGCTAATGAGTATATGAGGTGGAAGGTCAGAAGAAAGATGTCTCTATTTGGATTTGGAAGGGATCTGCATAAGGGAGATAAAGTCATTGTGGGAATCACCAAAGGAGAATGTGAAGAGGAACAAATGGAGGGACCACCCCTGCATCTTGATCACTGAGTGCTTAGGAAGCATTTGAAAAGCAGCCTGCAAAGGAGACCAAAGAAGGACTGACAGGGAGGAGTGATCAATGCCAAGTACAACTGAGAGGCTGTAGAAGTGAAGAACACATTGAAGTGCTCAGGACAGATATCATTGACATTGCTGGTCAAAGCTATTTTAGAAAGATGTTGAAGGGTTGGTGAGGGAGAACTGAAAAGGTAGAGACAGAAAGCAGAAACCACTCTCTTGGAGGTTGGCTGCGATGAGAAGACATTTGGGGAGCTGAAGGGAGTCATGATGTGGGAAGTATTTTTTCCAGATGGAAAAAAGTACAATCTGTTTATATATGTTTGTGGTGGAAATGGAGGCAAAGAAAGGAGATAATTGATGAAGTAATATCTAGAGTGGCTATTTGGTGAGGAGTCCAGAGCTAAAAAGATTAACCATCTATCCCCTTGCAACTGAAGAAGTGGAAGAAA